AGAATAGTGGCTAAATACTAAAAGTAAAAGTCGTTACATAAATAAAGGCAGTGGAAATAGTTTTATTCTAGATACTTCTAGAAACTATGACTGCAATAAACCGCTCTTGTGTCGCAGGTGATCCAGAGATTAAAACCGTCGAACACTTCACACCAAAGCGATCTTGGATCAAATTCCTTTTCATGAAATAATACGGAAGCTTCCAGCTGATGGAGCGGACAACTTTCCGAGAATCCCCTGCTTTATCTTTATCCAAAAACATTCCCAAAGACGAGGCCTTCAGGAAGTACTACCGTGACAAGAGCGAGGTGAGATACACGCATCAGGTTAGCTGTTTCACAGCTAAAGAGGGCCTAGGGGGCTGTGTGACCGCGCAACATGTGCTTCTTCTCTGTTGCGCAACTGGGACATCGCCTGGAGGCGAAGAGAAGGAAAGTATACATGAGTCAATATTGTTTTCTATTCAGAACAAATTCCTTACAATCGAATACATCAGAACAAACACATTTACGACACCTACAGATTAAGTCCACCCCCACAGCAGAGGAAGACACATGGTTGGATCCTGAGGCTCCTGAGGAGGCTCCTGGGTCGTCACGGGGCTCCCAGAGTGCTAACAAGGAGGCCTCTGAGGAGGCCCCTGAGAGCTCCAGGCTCAGAGTCGTGGTTGACAGTGTTTGTTTGTGTGTGTGTGTTGATGTGTGGTGTGAGTGTTTTTGATGTAGTGAACTCGTCAGAGGCTTCTGGGAGCTTTGTTGCATAGTCAGGTGTAGTGGCACTCCCATCGCTGGTCACTTCTAGGTACTACGTACAGCAGAGTCAAACACTGAGATGATAAACTGGTTGTCAACAGTATTAATGTGAGTTCTTACCATCATGTTAAAGTTTTACACAGACTTCCAAAGTCTCTCCAGAGCCGTCTTATTGACTGCTCTCCCTCAATAACCTGCAATTCGAGGAAAAAATCCCCAAAAGAGTTTGTTTACCACCAGAATTGTTAAAAAGGATCCACAAACTTTGTACCTTTAACTCACTTTTTAATAAGTGCTAACTGCTAGCAGCAGTCAGACCAGTCCAGGACCAGCAACTTGTTGGTTGCCAAATGAAACAAATCGGCTACATTAGTTTTACCTTTAGAATTATCTCTAGTATCTCCGCCTTGATAATGCAGAATTACAACGAAAAAAAATAATGTTTCATAAAAAAATAATGACAGAAAAACACAGCTAAAAACAGGAAAAGTCAAAGTTTATGAGTAGCAAGAGTCTACAGACAGAGCGTGAGTCTCTACGCTGTAAAACTAAATCTCTGGGAGTCTAGTGTTATATAACCATATAATGGAAAGATCAATAGATAAAAACACTTCAGTCTCATCTTTAACATTTTATAGAGTGTTTGGGGTTTGGCTCTGAACCTTCAGAATGTTAGACATAAAAAGTCCAGAAACCCTTAGGTTGTCCGCCTCTGTGGTTTTGACCTTCTGCAAGACCCTGTCCCTTGTCCTAGTGACATCACAGAACCTTCATTAACCTGAACTTTCAATCTTTGATTTATAGGGGTCTGTCTTACACAGAAGATTCACTTTCCTTTTCTTCACATATCTCAGTGTGCCCCAGGGCAGCTGTGGCTACAGTATATTATTATGACCTGATGAGTGTTTGGAGTGACGCCTTTTAGAGAGAGTGGCTATGTAAAACCCCTTCAATAATATTATTAATATAAAGTTGATGTATTATAACGGATCTCCGGTGGGGAGTTTTCAGAGTTATTATATTAAAAGAAAGTCAGGTAACCCCATTTAATAATCCAATATCACATGTCGATCCTATTGCATGACACTCTCTTTACTTTCTAGATGTAAAAGAGGCATTTGTCCTTTTCAATAGTTTTCCATACCCAAGGTGTTATTCCTGAATGTTTATATAAATTCTAAACACAACAATAGAAATAAAACAGCAGGTGGACTTGCGGTGAGGTTTGTGATTGGGGAGGGGCAACAGTACTTTAAAAGTCAGATTTACCAAATCATATTCAAATAAAAAAGCATTTAATCACCAATGCAATGACATCCCACAGAACTTTAATATACTGTAAAAGATAAGAGAACCAGCTTCTTTTAAATAAACTCACAACAAATCTACTGCTGACTCTTCTCCGCAACGCAAACAACATCTTTAAGAAGCGCAGGTGCGAGAGACGCGAGGAGAGATAGACTCGAGAGAGAGAGCAGAGAGAGACCAGAGAGGAGCAGAGAGTAAGGGAGACGCGAGGAGCAGAGAGAGACGGAGACGCGAGGAGAGAGAGACGCTAGAGAGAGGACAGAGAGAGACAGAGAGGATCAGAGAGACGAGGACGCGCGGATCCAGAGAGAGACGGAGACGCGAGGAGATAGAGACGCGAGGAGAGAGGAGCAGAGAGAGACAGAGAGGAGCAAGAGAGACGGAGACCGTGAGAAAAGGAGCAGAGAGAGACGAACGCGAGGCGAGAGAGACGCGAGTGAACATAAACAATAATTTAAACAAGTTGCAGAACTCTGAGCAGGGTTTGAATCAGTGTTTTTCGGAAAGCACTACTTTATGCCGTATCCTGTCAATTATTCAACAAAAACACAGATGAACAAACTCCTCCCCCGCAGCCGGACAAACCTCGTAAGTCCAGTGGAGGTCTCCCAGTCTATATTAATTCTTTTCTTGTTTGAAAGTCCAAATTAGAGAAAAAATAATCTATCATTCAATCATACCATAATCCAGCAAAAGAAATAGCATTTTGGGCTGATGTTTGTTACAACTCAGGTATGAACTTTATGCTCACTAACACCCCCTAGCGGTGAGGCACAGATACCGCCTGCCTCACGCCAAGCATTTTCCTTGTGTGTTCATCTACGAGCAAAAGACAAAAACATACTATAAATTTGTATCACACTACGTGCAAATACACAATCAAAACAACTAAGAGGAGTTTAGAAAAATGTTTTAAAGCAGGATATTTGAAACAAACGGTGATATATCAATGCACGAGCTGGAGTGCAGCACTCAGACACACTCACACACACAGTGAGGGAGCGGTCCTGGGGTGATGCCACGCAGAGCGCTTGCTCACCCCCTCGTCTCTTTGAATAGGAATAACGTGATTTTTCGCCGATTTTGCCATTCAGAATGATCAAAACTGATGGAACCCGTGCCGAATATACATTAAAGGCATAGGACAGTGGATATAAATTATATATTTGTAAAACTAAAATAATTAATAGGTTCCATCATGGCAGTGAGGACTCTGCCTTCCCCTGCACTCCCCCTGACCTGCACGTCCCCTGAGAAACAGAACATATCTTGAGGACTTACAAAGATGTCAATTCACCAACACAAATTGGCGAAACAAACAGTTTCAAACACAGAAATAAAATTAAAACAAACGACATGGAGACATTGTCCTTGATGGGAAGAGACCACTGCCCTTAAGCCTTCTGCATTAGACGAGCAACCTCTTAAGACTGGTGGAAGAAAAGTTGAGAAACCTCTGGGATGCCCCCATGAGGACGGCTCTGCTCCGAAAGGGACGAAGGGTCAGTAATCAGGATTGAGGCAAGAGAAATATAGAATCTAAATTGATTTGATTGAACTGTACTATTGAGAATGGACACAGTTACTCTTCTACACTTTCTTGTACTGGGTCTCTGATTGATGGAATCTAGTTTGGGTGAAGTTTGGTTATCTTTGAATGTAGATTCTTATACTGAACTAAACAAATAACAATATTCAGTGCTGCTTCACACAGCTGGTCTGCCTCTGGGACTCTCATCATCATTCTGCTCTCTCTCGGGTCATACTGGTCTCCTCTCTGTCTCATTCACAAGGTGTGTTATTAACTGCACTGTTACATCTGTCTCTTTCAGAATCAAACCACCATTGATTCGTCACTCTCACGTGGAGAAGTCCACTCGGACCCCTCTGCTGTCGCCCCTGATGGTGCAGGTGCTGACTGTTCTGAGTCCTTCTGTTGCCCCCCCTCGTATGGCAGCCACAGGGCAGGGGTGGATGCAGGTGTAGACTGTGCTGAGGTCGTTCTGCCGCCTTCTGGAGAGTGCAGATGCAGCCTGTGCTGAGTCTTCTGTCCGCCTCCTGGTGGTGCAGGTGGCAGAAATGTGCGGAGTCCTCCAGTCCTCGGTATCTTTGACTCGGTTCTGTTGAACTATGACCTGGTGTCGTCCGCTTCTACCTCCCTGAGCTCCTCACACTTCTGCAGTGACCTCCAGAATATTATACAGAGCTCCTTATGATTTTTATTAATTTGATCAAATTTGGTATTTCTATTTATTTATGTCCCAGACGAGTGGTCAATAGCTTTTCACAGATGGACGAGCAGCGCTGACACAAGAGGCGGCGCTCTCTTCCTCTACAGCGCTGCTAAACACAGTAAGCATGTTAAGTCATAATTGGGCTATAACACTCCTCTTGCCAGTAACTACAAACACAGGCATAACAAACGCAAAACGACACAACAGTGAGGAAGAGAAGAGGAACTAAAAGCGAAAAAAATGATCAAAGAAAAAATCAAGCACGCAGTTGCTTTATTGTGCGAACATGACACAAGCAGTTAAGCTAATAACGTTTCCAGGCTAACGTCTCTATATAACTCCGGCGCTCTTGCCGTAAAGCAGTGCCGTAAACAGTAGATCAGTATAACAGTATAACTATATATCATTTATATATGACATCTCCCCCTTTATGTACTCCCCCTAAATCAAAAGGTGAAAATAAACAAAAGTACAACCATTAACATATCAGATTACTTTTTCTTCCTTTTTTTTTTTTTTAGAAGCCCCCATGGAACAAGTCTTTCCTATAACCTGCAATAAAGTATTTGCAAGAACATAGAAGTAGTATTAGTAACAACATTAGGGTACATGCAAGTATTTTCCTTTATCCCATCTTCCCCCCCAAAGGCCATGGTGTGCGATGTGGAGCACACTTCAGAGACTACAGGTCCAGTCTCTCGACAGGTCAGCACACACGACCGGACCTGGTACACACCGGAGAGTGAGAGTTCGTAGGTGTGCATGTCTCAGTAGGAGCAGTTGGCTGGATTGGCGCAGCCACCGCGGTCTCTGTGGGTTGAGGAAGAGGAGCAATGTCTATCGGCGCAGAGTAATCCGTACGGAGATGACGACGGTTGCGACGAAACATTACTCCTTGAGGTGTCTTGAGAATGTACAATCGCGGGGTAACGCCCTCACTGGAAACAGTTGCTGGTGTCACCCAAGCTTTATCCTGGTCCAACTTGGCGACGACTGCATCGCCCGGACGCAGTGGGGGAAGCGGTCTGACCCCATGGCGGCGATTGAAGTAGAAGGCTTGTCTAGCCTTCTCTACAGCATCTTTTTTAAGCACCATCTTTTTGTTGGGCCACTTCGGATTAAGATTTTTCTCCAAAGTAGGGAGGTTTGTTCTGATCTTTCTCCCCATGAGGAGCTCAGCTGGACTGACGCCAGTGGTGGTACAGGGTGTTGACCTGTAACACATGAGAGCAACGAGCGGGTCTTCCTGTCTGAGGATTTTCTTTGCGGTTTGTACTGCTCTCTCTGCGTGACCGTTTCCTTGAGGATGGTGAGGACTAGATGTGAGATGCTTAAAGTCCATGTCCTCGGCAAACTCGCGGAACTCAGTGCTGGAAAACTGAGGCCCGTTGTCACTCACCACCTCATCGGCGACACCGAAACGAGCAAAAGTGGCTTTCAGTCTTTGAATCACTTGAAAGCTTGTAGTGGATGGCAGTTGCAGAATCTCTAAATAACGAGAATAGTAGTCTGATACTATTAGATAACTGTTTTTATTGTACTCACAAAGATCCAGTCCTATTCTTTTCCAAGGTCGATCGGGCAAAGGAGTTGAGATGAGTGGCTCCTTTTGTTGGGTGCGCCTCTGCTCCTGGCATGTGAGACATCGCATTACAGTGTTTTTCAGTTCAGCTGAAAGGCCTGGCCACCAAACTGATGAATTTGCCCTGTCTCTGCACTTTGAGAGTCCTTGGTGTCCTGAGTGTATTTTCTTTAGAATCTCTGACCTCTCAGACTTTGGGATCACGATTCTACAGCCACGTGTAACAAGGCCATTCGTCTCTGACAGTTAATTTTTCACTTTCAGATACGCACGGACGTTTAATGGCACTTTGTCTCTGTATACTGGCCATCCTTCTCTAATGTACCTAATGACGGATTGCAGTTCACCGTCACTTAATGTGGCTGCTTTAATACTGTCCATACGACTGGGAGAGGCTGGAATGCCCTGCACGACAGTGGCTATGTAACACTCAACTTCACTGTGTGTGTCCACCTCTTCCCTTGTGTAGGTCTGGGGGCTGCGTGACAGTGTATCAGCGACAACAAGTGTTTTACCTGGCATGTAAACAGCTTCAAGTTTGTGCCTCATGAGTCGCATTAGCAGGCGCTGACATCTCAGGGGAACGTTGTCCAAGCTCTGGCTGTTTATGAGAGGTACAAGTGGTCTGTGATCTGTCTCTAGTCTGAAATGATCCAAACCACACAGATATTTATCAAACTTTTCGCACGCCCACACACTGGCCAAACACTCCTTCTCTATCTGGGCGTAACGTGTTTCGGCTTCAGTGAGACGTCTGGAACAATAGGCAACTGGTTTCCACACTTCCCCTTGGAGTTGGAGTAACACAGCTCCTAAACCATAGCTGCTAGCATCTGCAGACACAGTAGTCGGTTTAGTAATGTCATAAAAGGTAAGAACGGGTGCTGTTGTCAGCAGGTCTTTTATGTTCTCAAATGCTGATTGCTGTGAAGGACCCCAGGTCCAGGCATTTTTAGTCTTTAGCAGATCATACAGTGACTGACTTATAGTAGCAAGATTAGGAATGTACTTGCCTAAATAGTTGACCATGCCGAGCACTCTCTTCAATTCCTGCACGTTTTGGGGTGGAGGCAGCTGGCTTATGGCGTCAACTTTCTCCGGGTCTGGCCTGACCCCGGAACGGTCAATCAGATGACCCAGGAATCTCAGCTGGCTTTGTCTCAGGGAGCACTTTTCTTTGTTGAGCTTTAGGCCAGTTGATTCAATGCGACGCATGACTTTGTTTAGACGAGCGTCGTGTTCCTCCATTGTGACTCCATACACCAGGATGTCGTCCATGAAGACCTCGACTCCCTCCAGACCCTCCAGCGTCTCTAGCATTTTCCGCTGGAAGATCTCTGGTGCACTTGTAATGCCGAAAGGGAGCCTCTTGAAACAGTATCTGCCAAACGGTGTTATGAATGTTGTTAGTTTACAACTGTCCTCATGCAGGGGAATCTGCCAGAATCCACTGGCAGCATCGAGAGAGGAGAACACCGTTGCACCACTCAGTTTGGAGGTGATTTCATCAGATGTTGGGAGAATATAACGTTCTCTTTTAACTGATTTGTTGAGTTTTGTTAAGTCAACGCAGATTCTCGCTCTGCCTGTGTGTCTCTTTAAGACCGGGACCATGGGAGCACACCATTCTGTTGGTTGTGTGACAGGTATTATGACACCATTCTGCTCCATTCTCAAAAGTTCATCTTTAACCTTTTGTAGCATGGGAAAAGGAACCCTGCGTGCAGTGTGAACAGCATAAGGCACTGCATCCTCTCTTAGCAGGATTTTTACTGGTTCTGTCTTTAATGTACCATGTTCTCCATAGAGCTGTTGTGGCTGGTCCCTATTGGAAACAGCGTCTACTCTCCTCACTAGATTCATTTCCACCGACAGAGAGCGGCTGAGTAGATTGTTCACTCTTTCACCACGAACTACATACATTGTTGACATATAGTTCTTACTTTTATAGCACACAGTCACATCAAAGCAGCCTAGGCACAGTAGCTCTCCTCCTGGGCTGTCCAGAGGAAGATCAGATGGCTGCAGTGGCTTTTCGGGAGCTATTGCGTGAAAGGTATTTTCATTTATGACATTAACATCGGCTCCGGTGTCAATTTTGAATTCCACCGGGACAGAGTCTATGTGAAGAAGCACAGTCCATGTTTCTCCCTTTCTTTTGGGGTTACTAACTGAGCCGAGAAAGTAGGAGGTCTGTTCAGTGCTTTCATTATCCCTCACTTCATTAACTGAATTACCACTACGACATACTCGAGCCCAGTGTCCCATTTTGTGACAGTTGTGACATGTAGCTTTTGAAGCTGGACATTTTTCCTCCTTGTTGTGGCTCGTTTTACCACATTTTCCACACTTTTTATTTGAATCGCCCCATTTTCTGTTCTTGGTCTGCATGCCCCGTTGATATGACGGTCTCCATGTAGTGTTTCTACCTTTACTCCGCACTTCTTGTACCGCTGCTGTTGTGTCTCCCTGCAGGCATACTTGAGCCGCGACCTCCTCTGATTGTCTCACGTTTTGTATCGTGAGCGTTAACGTAAGGTCCGACATGAGCTGGAGTTTGCGGGAAAGTTCCTTGTCCATGATCCCGACAACGATGCGGTCACGGATGTGTTCTTCCCTGGTAACTCCAAATTCACAATGCTCTGAGAGCTCATACAATGCTCGTATGAAACTCTCTGCCTTTTCGCCTGGCCGTTGGACGCGCTGGTGAAAACATGCTCTCTCATGTATCACGTTCCTCCGCGGAAAAAAATACTCATCATATTTTGCCAATACAATCTCTATTTTATCACGGTCCTCGACTGCAGCGAACGTGAATGACTTGAAAATGTTCTCTGCTTCAGCGCCCATTGCATAGATAAGGCAGCTCACCTGCACTTTCCCATCGTCTTTGTCTAGTTTTGTCGCAATCCTGTACCGCTCAAACCGTTGTTTCCAATCTGGCCACTCTGTTGGCTTCTCGAAGGAAAAGTTTGCGGGAGGATTAAACTTGGCCATATCGACAAATTCTCCGATCCAAAAATCACTTCTCACGGCAAAAATCCTGTCCTGGCCACTTCTGACACCATGTAGAATGACGAGTGGTCAATAGCTTTTCAGTTGCTTTATTGTGCGAACATGACACAAGCAGTTAAGCTAATAACGTTTCCAGGCTAAAGTCTCTATATAACTCCGGCGCTCTTGCCGTAAAGCAGGTGCCGTAAACAGTATATCAGTATAACAGTATAACTATATATCATTTATATATGAAAAGGAGCTCTTGGGAGAGGCATCCTACAGGTGCGGTACATATATGTGTGTTTGGTCGGTCAGGTAGTCCACGTCAGGAGCCCTTGGGAGAGGCGTCCTGTGACTACGGATGACCTACATCTGTGTTACGTGGGGGTATCCTTGGTAGGAGTGGCCCTGTAACACGCATTTGTTTCTTCTGCCCTGAGTCCTCTCACTGTGTGAGGGTCTTGCTCGGGCGGAGCTCCAATCACCCTTCGCTGGCCTGCTGGGAGTACATGTTCCTACGGCCTCCGCGTTGTGTCCCACTAGCGAAGTCCTAAGGGACGTAGCACCATGACGTAGAATTAATAGTTACCTAATGTAACTTAAGTTCTACGAATAGGTGCGTAGTCCCTTAGCTACGAGCCCATCAGGCCAGCCCGGCTTGGCAGAGTTCAAGAGGGGGTGCGGCCTTGTGCAGGGGAATTTATAGAGGAGGGTGGCTGGTGATTGGAGCAAATTATTTTGATCTCTCTGGCGTGTGACCTGGGGGTCACGAGTGATATCCCACTAGCGAAGTCCTAAGGGACTACCCACCTATTCGTAGAACTTAAGTTATATTAGGTAACTATTAATTTTGCCCTTTGTAGTAGCTTGTGGCCAGAAACTTGCCTATGCACTGTACTTTACCTCCAGGACTTGTTATTTGGGGTGATTTCCTCAACGTGACCAGACGGGGGCAGTGTTGTAACTTGTTAACTTCACTCTGTGCCATGACGGTGATGTCGGCCCCTGTGTCTATTTTGAACTCGACTCTGCTGCCATTCACAGGTAAGTTTACCAACCACTCCTCATCTGGACCGTTTTGCTCAATCATTTTGTCCTCTTTAATGGCTCCTAAGAAAAACGGATCATCTGTGTCTGTTTCTCTGGGAGTAACAGTGACTTCTTTCAGTGTTTTAGTGTAACACGCTACCTCAAAATGTCCCATTTTGTTGCATCTTCTGCACCTCTTGTTCTTTGCTGGGCATGGCTGAGTTCTACCGTGTTGTCTCTTGCAGCGTGAGCAGCTCTGTTGTTCGCGGGGATCCTCACGTTGGTAGTGCGCAGATGATTTACTCTTTCTATCATACTGCCGCCTGCCTTGTCTCACTGCATCCAGAGTGCATTCCGCACGCATACTGATGTTCTGTTGCTTAATTTGTTCATTTTGTCTTGCTATTTGGATAGCTTTTCCAGTGTGAGCTCCGTTTCTAGCTGTAGTTTTTGAGAAACATCACTGTCGGATATGCCAATAACAATAACTCTGATTTTCTCGTCTTTTATGGCTCCAAACTCACAGTACACAGTAATATCTTTGTTGATTTTTAGTGAATTTTTCCAATTTCATTTTCGTCACTGTGAAGGGGGAAACCATATTTTTCCCAAATTCTTGCCTGTAGTAGCTAGCTATTGCTCAAATGGAGCTACTACACCCATCAAAACTGGGAAAAATATCTTTGTTGATTTTTAGTCTTTATTAGTCGTTTTGACCTCTTGCAATTTGCAGACGGTCCCTTGCGAATATCAGGCGAATATCAAACGTTCGGCCAACTTCACCTCGGTACAAACGCCTCCACTGATTCTCCGGGCTTCTGCACTCGCTTGTAAAAGCATGCACGGTCGTGAATGACGTTGCGTTTGGGCACAAAATGCTCCGTCTTCTTCTTCTTCTTCTTCTTCTTGTGGATTTCCGGCAGACTGTGCGCCAGTCGGCGCATTGCTGCCTTTCACTGGTGGATCCAATTATTGCACCCTAGGTCCATTCAAATTCTCTGGTACAGTCCGGTACTAAAAATAAATTCCACAAGCGCACAAAAAACTTCTTGCTGCTGCACATGGGGAGCAAGCAATGATCTCAGATTCACACGCTCAAGTCCCAGGTGAAGAGCACGAGAAAACAGCAGTCTTCTTTGGTCCACATATTTCCTACATTGTAAGAGAACATGTTTCACTGTCTCTTGCTCACTGCACTCTTCACACAGGCCATCTCTGTGCTTACCGATCCGATACAGGCTTTGAGCAAGCCCACAATGACCCAGTCTCATTCTGGTTATCATAACCTGCTCCTTCCTGTTATTCCCCCGGGTTGCTTTATCCCCCCCACTAATACTCTGCTGGATGCTGTAAAAGTGCCTTCCTCTTGTCTCCCTGTCCCATGCTCTCTGCCACTGCTCACACACTCTCATTTTAATTAGATGCCGATGCTCACACACACCAAATGCCACCACCACCTCTACTCTTTCGCTCTGCAAGGAATTTTTAGCAATCCTATCCACCACCTCATTTGCATCTACCCCCACATGTGCTGGAACCCACAAAAAACCCACATCATTCCCTCCCCTCTCTATCCTACACAGAACGCTTAGAGCCTCATATAAAAGATCTGGTCTTGTTTTAGACGACCCTGCCTCCAGAGACAGCAACACAGCCGCTGAGTCTGAGCAGACAACCACACTCTCTAGTCTCAATCGCTCAATCCATTTAAGGGCCCACACTATTGCAATCAATTCGGCTGTAAAAACTCCAATTCCATCTGGGAGTCGTCTGCCCTGACTCAGGGCCAATGTTGGGCTGTGTACCCCAAACCCTGCTCTCCTTCTCTGAGGGTCGACCGACCCATCCGTATACACTTGCAGGGCACTGTTCCAGTTGGTCACCAATACCTCCCTCACAACCTCTTGGGCACACACTCTTCCCCTTTCTTTAAGGCCCTCTTTAACGGACCAGTCCACCTCCACCTGAGGAAGCAGCCATGGCGGGACTGAGGGCCAGACAACCACCGGAGCCGTGTTCCTCTGCCTGAGCTCTGGAATCTCATCCTTTACCTCATAAATAAACGTTCTCCCCCCCCTTCCTCCTGTCTCCCATGTATCCTCCATCACCCTCCTAGCAGGATGCTCTTCACGTTGGCCTTGTGATTTTGCCACAAACTGGAGGGCCAGTTTTAACCGCCTCTTCTCAAGGGACATCTCCCCTACCTCAACCAGGAGAGCTGGTACTGATGTTGTTCGAAAGGCACCACAGCACACTCTTAGGGCCTTGGCTTGAACCACATCCAACTTAGCCAGATTTGTTTTAGCTGCATTCCCATAAACCAGGCTTCCATAGTCCAGAGACGACCGCACCATTGCTCTGTAAATCATCAACAGGGTGGATTTGTCTGCTCCCCAGTTACTACCAGTCAGGCAACGCATTACATTAATAACTTTATTACATTTACTCACAACTTTCTCAATGTGCCCTTTCCATGTCATCCTTTCATCAAAGTAAACCCCCAAGAATTTAAATATCCGGACCCTTTCCAGTGCCACACCATACAACTGCAGCCCTATACTACCAACCTTTTTGTTTCCGAAGACTATACATTTTGACTTCTCCACTGAGATTTTAAACCCCCACTGATTTGCCCATTCCATTATCCCATCTAGCGCTCTCTGCATTTTATTAAAAACATAGCCAATATTTCTCCCCCTCCTCCAGACCGCCCCATCGTCCGCAAAAAGAGACACCCCATAACCCGGCCCCACACTTTTAAAAATATCATTTATCATTACATTAAACAAAACTGGACTAATTACACTCCCCTGTGGAGTACCATTGTCAATGTTTACCGATTGGGACAATGCACTTCCTACTCTTACTTGAATTGTACGACCTAATAGAAACGCTTTAATCCAATTTAAAGCACGACCTCTAACACCTGCATCATACAGTTTCACTATAAGTCCTTCTCTCCACAACATATCATAGGCCTTCTCAATATCCAAAAATACAGCCACAAGAACCTCTTTACAGGCGATTGCTCTCTTAATATCACAGTCCAGTGACAATACTGACTCCATGGTGCTTCTCCCTTTCCTAAAGCCATTCTGATACGGGACAAACCACCCCTCTTTTTCTAATTTGTACACTAGTCTGTCTGTCACCATTCTTTCCATAATTTTACACAATACCGACGTAAGCGCTATGGGTCTGTATGATCCTGGGTTGTTTTCAGCCTTTCCTGGTTTTAAAATGGGAATAAACCACTGCCTGCCTCCAGGCTAGTGGTACACGCCCTTCAGCCCATACATTATTAATTAACGACAGAACCTCTTGCAGTACATCCTCCCCAAGATTTCTAAAAACTCTGTACATCAAACCATCCTTTCCTGGTGCAGTATGACCCCCCTTGTCAATTGCTCTGACTAACTCTGTAAAGGTAAAGAACAGGTTTATATAATCAGAATTGTCACAATTCATTTCAGTTTTATGCTGATGCACAGCCAACATTGAATCCCTCCTTCTAATTCCCTCCCATCCCAGGTTTGCCCCACTATGCACTGCTTGAAATGCCTTGGACAATAGATCTGCCTTTTGCTCGTCATTAACCGCTGCCCCTCTTTCACTCTCTAACACTGGAATAGACCGAGCACGCTTAACCCCAGACATACGCCTCACAGCTGACCACACTCGCTGGAGAGTTGTCTCCGCTCCTAGCTTGCTGCAATACTGCCTCCAGCACATTCGTTTTGCATTCTTGATAACCCTCCGGGCCACTGCTCTCAATTTCTTGTATTCTATTGCGTTTTCCTCTGTTGGATACTTCCTAAATTTCTTATACATTTTATTTCTATTCCTGATAGCGGCACTGCAGTCCTTGTTCCACCAGGGAACACAACCCTTTTCTCTTGGTTTACCCTTTTCTGGAATAAACAACTTAACATTATCAGCAATCATACTGCACAAACTATTACTCCAGTCATCCACTGTCCGGTCATCAACTTTATCCAAGTCTCTGCTACAGGCCTCTGAAAACTCTCCCCATTTTGCCTTATTATAATTTAGCTGCTTAAGCCTAGTTTGCTCCTCTTGTTAGGATTTAAGCAGACAGAGACGGATCGTGGTGTGCCAAACTCTGGAAGTTTATTTAAGTTTCTCTCAAGTTCCACTGGTTTACTCTGTTTCTTTTTCTCAGACAGAATAAAGGCAGTACACAGTTTATATAGTCATTGTCACGTCACACATCGAAAGACATACGTGTCACAAAGAGACAGTCAAATCATAGTCATAACATGGAGTCCTTGTAGAGTCCTTGTACAGTCCTGCACGTAGGCCATATTGCTATCTAATACTAACACTCTATCACAAGGGACTGCCCAAACCGAATGAAAATTGGGAAGTGATCACTCCCCCAAAATGCTCCGTGAACTTAGCTATCACTTTTGAGTAGTCAAACCGTGACTGAGTCCTCTCTTCATCGTCACTATTTTCATCTTCGCTGTCACTATACACAAATGAATCATATATTGGCTCTGCTTCTCTTCCCAAAGCGTAGAGAAGTGTGTTGACTTGCACTTCGCCGCTGTCTCTGTCGAGCTTCGTAGCGACCCGGTACCGGTCGAAGCTGCGGCGCCATATTGGCCACTCTGCTGGTTTGGAAAAGTCAAACGTTTCTGGCGGTCCGAACTTTGCCATTGCTCTTATGCAGGCGTCCTGTCGTCGACCACTTCTGACACTATCTCGTGTACAGCGATGTGAAGAAATGAAGAGATGTTGTAACTTCTAAACATGTACTTTATTCTCGTACAGAACCATAGTCACTCGTGACCAAACACATGTCTCCCTATGTCTCATGCCTGATGACGCACAATATAGTGGCCTATGGGCGTACATCATGACAGCGTCTGAGATTTGATAGTGCATTCACACGGGATAAGCAATATCTGCAAAATACTATTTTTACTGACATCTCACATAACGGCCGCACAGAGAGTCGCGTCATACAGTCTATGGTCTGACCACAGCACCCACAGAGAGGACAAACATGAGGACAAACTGCTCTAGCCTACAGTTCTCTGGCCCATATTGTCTGTAATGTTTAATAATAGTTTGTATGGACAACTCGTGAACGCACCACATGCTCTGCTAAGATACGTGCGAGCCGACAAGAACGGCTGCAGTAACACGTCTGTACAGTGCAAAGTAAACGTACAAATGCAACCCATCTGATCATTTAGTGTCAGTGAACACATTAAACTGTCCTCTCCACTTCTCCATAGACCTCACAGAGACAGCAGCAGCCGCGACCCTGCAGATGTGCACACAGCCGTGACGGGACTCCTCTGCTCATTGACAGAAACAACAACAAAAGTAAAACAAAAGCGGCCATAGCGATCACAATCACTGACGTGCAGATTCTCACGGGATTAGTATTATCAGAGGACGTCTGTGTTTAGACAAATACAGGTCATTTGCGTATTAAATTATACTAAATAAGAGCGAATAGGGCTGAGGTAAACCAACTTGTTTCACTCCGGGGAATTGATTGACGCCGAAATGTATTGAATACATATCAAAATTAATTATTGCATTTTCTAGTTCCCAAATCCGGTTATTATAATATATATACGTCTTATAAGCAATGAAAAAACCAAAATGGTCATTTTTGTATATTGCTGTGTGCCTGAAAATGCAAAATAGCCTTTTTTCAATTATCCATTTCCCTTCAAAAATAGAAAATGTTTTGAACGCAAAAGTACACGGACCGTTGTGTCTCTGAATAAGGATTGATTGATGTGTTGTTTGTCGTGGTATGGATTTTGCTTTTGTATTTTGGTTTTATTTAGAAATAAGTTCTCTGTGGTTTTGTTTTAGTTTGACTTCCTGTCCTGTTTTCCCCTGTCTTGATTGTCTGCCCCGCCCTGATGTGTTTCACCTGTGTCTGTGTCTATATGTACCCTGTGCTTCTCTCCCCTTGTTGCTGGTCCATTGTCTTTTTCATGTCTTCGTCTGTTCCGTTCCTTGTGGTTTTGGATTTTGAGTTTGTTTTCATCTGCATTTTTCATACTTTTTTCTTTTGGCAATCTTGCGTTTTGAGTTGGATTGAATGAAGAAAATGTTTGGTTCTGCACTCTGGCTGTATCTTTAAATGTGTGTGCCCCTCCTCAGACACTCATATAGATCATTATTGGCCAATATTTACCTTAATAATAATGTGATCTATCTTGTGCTGTGTGCTCTTCATTCCTACTCTCTGTGACTTGCAATGAAACACTGAATTTTCCCCGCTGTGGGACGCATTCTCTTAATTTAATTTAATTTCATTTATTGATTCATTTCGAGCAGATCACATAAAATAAAAAGTAAGAGTTGTACATAAGTACAGGAATTAGAAAAGATTTGGCTCGAAAAGGAGTGGGAAGAAGAAAACTTATTGAATCCCACCCCTATTGTCCATTGCTACATTACAATATTTAACTGCCACTTCACTTCCATAAGAAGAGAAAAAAAACCACACAAATAAGGAAAATATTCTCAATGCAACAAAATTCATCAAATCTTCATTACTTAAACACTTTCATTTGTTTCATTTTCATTTTAGAACAAAAAACTAAGTGCAATATAATTTTCGTTTTCAGTCAAATGTTAAAGTAGGATGGCATTGGAATTATATATATATATAACTAAGGCCTTGAACCTTAGTTTGGGGACCATTGCAGTAGTAAGTTCATCAGAGATCACTTTTAATTGTGTTTTTAACAACAATTTCAAAACAAAACGACATAATGGAATGGAATTGGATGCATTCTGAATCACCATGGCAACAAGGAGATGGCATGACATCACTTCAATTGGCCATTCTAAAGATTACAGTAAACCCCTTCACAATCATCTGAACTACACAAGGGAACAGCTGCTTTTCGGTCACGGCTGTATTTGCAGAGATGTCTAGGTAAGTTACAATTATATATAATATATATAGGTTTTCTATGTTAATCTTATGTAAACATTTGTCTAGTTTAACACAAAGGCAAACAATATCTCAAACAGGACAACTGGACTCATATGATTTAAATGTAACATTTCTCTGAAATAAGATTTGGTCTGTTACTGTTACTGTGATTACTGCTACGGTCTTCAAACTATACAATAACAAACACAACTGAGACGACTACTGAAAAGTGTGGGAAAATGCTACTGTGGACAGTAGTGTAAAATGTACAGTGCCTTGCGAAAGTATTCCTTGAACCTTTCAACATTTCGCCACATTTCAGGCTTCAAACATAAAGATATAAAAATTACATTTTTTGTCAAGAATCAACAACAAGTGGGACACAATCGTGAAGTGGAACTAAATTTATTGGATAATTTAAACTTTTTTAACAAATAAAAAACTGAAAAGTGGGGCGTGCAATATTATTCGACCCCCTTGCACTAATACTTTGTAGCGCCACCTTTTGCTGCAATTACAGCTGCAAGTCGCTTGGGGTATGTCTCTATCAGTTTTGCACATCGAGAGACTGGAATTCTTTCCCATTCGTCCTTGCAAAACAGCTCGAGCTCAGTGAGGTTGGATGGAGAGCGTTTGTGAACAGCAGTCTTCAGCTCTTTCCACAGATTCTCGATTGGATTCAGGTCTGGACTTTGACTTGGCCATTCTAACACCTGGATACGTCTATTTGTGAACCATTCCATTGTAGATTTGGCTTTATGTTTTGGATCATTGTCCTGTTGGAAGATAAATCTCCGTCCCAGTCTCAGGTCTTTTGTAGACTCCAACAGGTTTTCTTCCAGAATGGTCCTGTATTTGGCTCCATCCATCTTCCCATCAATTTTAGCCATCTTCCCTGTCCCTGCTGAAGAAAAGCAGGCCCAAACCATGATGCTGCCACCACCATGTTTGACAGTGGGGATGGTGTGTTCAGGGTGATGAGCTGTGTTGCTTTTACGCCAAACATATCGTTTTGCATTGTGGTCAAAAAATTCGATTTTGGTTTCATCTGACCAGAGCACCTTCTTCCACATGTTTGTGTCTCCCAGGTGGTTTGTGGCAAACTTTAAACGAGACTTTTTATGGATATCTTTGAGAAATGGCTTTCTTCTGGCCACTCTTCCATAAAGGCCAGATTTGTGCAGTGCACGACTGATTGTTGTCCTATGGACAGACTCTCCCACCTCAGCTGTAGTTATCTGCAGTTCATCCAGAGTGATCATAGGCCTCTTGGCTGCATCTCTGATCAGTCTTCTCCTTGTTTGAGATGAAAGTTGAGACTGTTGTCGTTGTGTCCTTAGGCAAGACACTTAACCCCACTTTGCCCAAAGCCCCCACTGAAAGATCAAGGCTATGCTCACACTCAGAGAGCAGCTGTCCTCCTGTGGACTCACCACCTGCAGAGGGTCAGTGAGGGGCTGGTGCTATGAGACTTGGGTGGCATCTCTGATTGCCACCCCCCTGACCCAGAAATGGATTAAAGGGTAGAAAATGGATGGATGGATGGATGATTTTGAAAAAATGAGAGGATGTCTTGTCTGTGAGATATAAGTGTGAGGTGTTGTTTATGTAATTGTATGGGGACTGTGTTATATTTTGTTGTATTGTGTTTTCATGTAACTAGGGACTGCAGATGGAAATTAGCTATGTAACCATAATCTGGTGCAGAACATACATGTCTTTGAGCTTAATGTAACTGTGCACTGTCCCTGTTATTCCAATACCGACTGAACTACTACCACTACACTGAACTAGTGATCTTCTGGAGTGATCTGCAGAAGTCTTACTGACTGAGTTTGTATGATACTTCTTTAGGTTTCTCAAGACTTCGGAGGATTCTTCCAAACGGTTTGGGCTCAGCAGGCCGATTCGTGAGGAGTTTCCTTCTGTGGAAAAACTCCATCAGACTACGAGACTGACTGAGTCTCTAAAGACAGCCAATGTGTTCAGCAGTCGTGCTGAGCTGGAGCACCGGTGAGACACACAACTTTATTTCTATCACTACACACAAATACAGCGTCTCTCATGTTGTGTCTTTTGTAGGGAAAAGATTGTGGGAAATCTTTCGTCCCTTTTCAAACAATGGCTGCAAGAGATGTGCACTGAAATGGTAAGACTTCTTGATATTAGTATCAAACTCACAGTTGATAACAGGCATCATTTCACTATGACACCAGGCCATGTTCTGCCGTAATATCATTAAACGCGATACTTTATTATGTTGAATGCGGAAGAACATAGAGGGAAACACATACAAACAATACACATTTTCGTACAAAAAATTCTGGCCAATAACACAGAATTATGTTTATTTTCTTTCTTACAAACATAGATAAACATAGGGCGACAGTAGCTCAGTTGGTAGAGCATTGGCCTTAAGCCCAGAAGGTCGTGGGTTCAATTCCCACCTCTGCACCTTCTCCACCGACTCCCACTGATGACTGCTGTCGTTGTGTCCTTGGGCAAGACACTTAACCCCACTTTGCCCAAAGCCCCCACTGAAAGATCAAGGCTATGCTCACACTCAGAGAGCAGCCGTCCTCCTGTGGACTCACCACCTGCAGAGGGTCAGTGAGGGGCTGGTGCTATGAGACTTGGGTGGCATCTCTGACTGCCACCCCCCTGACCCAGAAATGGATTAAAGGGTAGAAAATGGATGGATGGATGGACAAACATAGATTATAATACAGTAGCTGCAAGTGTCAACATGTTACAACACTGAAGTCAAAACTCAATAAAGTATTGATTTGTTTGTGAGGAATTAGGACAGTTGTGTTTTTGAAATCTGGATGTGCAGTATATTCTGTCCTATCAAAGTGGCAGAATATTAATATTGAGTGCGTGTAAGTTGAGTTTGCACTGATCTGTGCTCTTTCAGAACGTGCCTCAGTTGGTCAGAGAGCAGGTGGGCGGCAAGGTGCTTTCCTATGGATCTTTTGCGATGGGTCAAAACATGAAGGACGCAGACATCGACCTGCTGTGTGTGGGACCACGGTTCATCCCTCGGGAATCCTTTTTCTCCTCCTTTGTGGAGAAATTAAGAGGACAACAGCATGTTCAAGTCAAACATGTAAGTCAAAATATTTGATTTCACATTTTTCTGAATGTAGTGTTCACTAATAGCATTTCTGATTTCTCAGGTTCTTGAGAATGCGTTTGTGCCCGTCATCAAACTGATTGTTGAGTCAGTAGAGGTAAGAAAAAGAGTCATTTAAACTGGCTCTTATTAAGTTGCTGAAATGATAATAAAAATAACAATAATATTATTAATAAAAATATAATTTCCATGACAAAAAGAGCTGTGGTTTTTGGTATTTGTGCCATTAGGTCGACATGGTCTACGCAAAAATCAACGGGAGGCGAGTGTCCGACAGCCTGGACTTGATGGACAGCACTATTCTACAGGAAATGGACGTGATCTCTGTCCGCAGTCTCCAGGGTTACCGGGACACACAGGAGATCATGAGCCTGGTGCCCAATGCCTACACTTTTAGATTGGCGCTGGCTGCTATCAAGCAGTGGGCCAAAAGTATGTCACACCAAGATCCCAAAGTGTACACGTATGTCTACGTCTACGAACATTTACCAGACTACTTTATTTACTGTAGGAAGAAACATCTACTCCAACATGTTGGGCTTCTTGTGTGGAGTGTCATGTGCCATCATGCTGGCCAGGATCTGCCAGATGTGCCCATATGCCACGGCAGCAGTGACGGTGGCAACATTTTTCAGGGTCTACTCCAGCTGGTGAGTCCTCTATGGTCATAATATTAATAATAATAATATGATAATATGGAACAAGGACACTACAGACAATAATTGTGATCATGAACTCATAAATGTGTTTGTTCTTGTCAAACAGGAACTGGGCCTCTCCCGTCATGCTGAGAGTCCCAGAGGAGCAGAACTGCAACTTACCCTCGTGGAATCCAAGTGTAAGTTCTGATTTTAGAATGCATCACTTTTTTTAAGTAGCAAAAAGTTCACAAAAGCAGTAATTTTTTTTACCTCTCACAAACTTGATTTTTGAGATACCCATTGATAGTCAGAAAACTCTTTTTTTTTAAATTAATTTGAGCACATTCTCACTGCCGTAAAAACAAGATTTGCCAAAGGGACCAATGGCTTTGTCCCATTGGCAAATCTTGTTTTAAGACAGTCAGAATTTACTCAGATTAAGATAAAAACCCACTTGATTCAAGCATTTATTACTTATAATAATAATAATATTTATTTCTATAGCACTTTTAAAAACAATTTTTACAAAGCGCTGCACAGTCATCATGATAAAGAATAAAACAGTCATAATACAAAGTCATGATAATTACATACAATAGATATAGGAAAACAAAGCAAAACACAAGAAGAGAGACTCAACAAAGACAAAGCAGACATTAAATACAGCATGTGAAGTTTAAAACTAACAATTAAAAGCTGTTCGATAAATGTGGGTTTTAAGAAGTGATTTAAAAGAGGATACTGATGGTGCGAGCCTTATCTCCTCGGGCAGGTCGTTCCAAAGCCGATCAAATACTTCATATTTGATCCTTGCTTTAGATGCATTCTTGTTGAATTAGATCCTCACTTAAATGACTTCTGCTTAAAGAACCACTTGTGGTTTGTTTAACTGAAATGTCCTAAAAAAAGATATTCAGTATAATGTGTTGGTTGATATTACCAGATGACTAGGCAGGAGCAGATGGCCATCATCACGCCTTCATATCCGCAGCAGAACTCGTCCTACAATGTCAATCCGTCCACGATAAAAATCATGAAGGAGGAGATTCGGCGAGGTACGTTTCTGATCAGGCTGTGTGGACTTCCCTCTAAGCTCTCTATGGTCTTCCAAGTTTATCATGTGCTCTCTATTCACAGGTCACGCAATAATGGAGCATGGTCTTCAAAACAGGTCGCTTTGGAAACAGTTGTTCGAGCCGTCTGACTTCTTCAAAGAATACAGGTACGTCTAAAAACCTGGAGCCAGTTTCTACTGTGGATGAATGTTTCTTTCTTCTTCGTCTTCGGTACTTTATTAACTCACTGACTTTGCCAGTGTGCAGATATGTGTTATACCTTTCACTATTGACTTTGTTGATTAAAAAGTAATGTTTGTGTGTTTTATGGATGTAGTTATATTTAGCATTAAGAACGATTTGAACAAGTTGCTATTATCTCATGTATAATTCTGCTGTTTTGTCTCTTCAGTAATTATGTCGTGCTGCGTGTCAGTGCCCCAACACAGGCCAAGCTGGAGGACTGGTGAGAGTCCATTTTAAACACCCTACCATCCATTTCACATCATTATGGAATGAATTTAACATCTGTAACTATTTACTCTTTGAAGATGTGATATTATAGATGTATATATTTGTTTGGGTTTACAGGACTAGTTATCTACAGAGCAGAGTGAGGCACTTGGTGGAAGCGTTGGGCAGAAACCCCAACATATCTGCGATCTGCCCGAGTCCCCAGTCCTTTACAGAAAGGTACGTATGTTCTTACTTCAATATTTCACTTGTTTAGTAAAAGTGCACATATACAAAGACTAATGAGGGTTAAGGCCAAGATACACTAACAGCTGGACGCCTGGAGTAGTTGGAAAGAATTTGAAATAAATGGTTTGCTGTTTTTCCCGATACGTTGGAAGCGGTTGGGACTTGTCCTGCCGTGACCTAGCAACAAGTTTTCAGTCGACTTGGGTCAACAGAGCGGATGGCTGTTGGCTCTTGTCTGGTCCACGTGTCTTTAGATGAATGCAATAATGAAGCCCATAGAAACGTATTCTGAAAGTGGGACTGTACTCTTATGCTTTCAGGGATGGACTGAGCACATCTTTGCTGCTGGGTATAAAAATCCACTCCAGTGCGGTCAATAGATTGGATCTACGATCAAACGCTAGGAGATTCATCCAGAGGGGTGAGGCTTTAAACACATATCATTACTGCATTAATATTTCATTGCTGTTATATTAATAGTGTTGCATTTTCTTTCAGTGTACACTGACGCTAAATCCAGCACTGAAGGAATACATATAGATGCAAATTTCTCCGACAGAAGCAGGTTAAAAGAGCTGATACCAGCGATGAGACACAGGCAGTAAGAGCCTGCTGCAGCCGCTGTGGAGAGACCATGTGTGAAAAAGTTTGTGTAAACTCTTAGTCATGCCGGGATTTTTCAAAACAAAGGAATGTTAACCCATCATCTGTGTTTCAGTTAGCAGGTTTTCCTGGAATGGAAGGTCAGCCGAGGGTTGGAGATATGTGGTTAACCTGTTGGTGTGGTTAGACACCCCATGATCCAGAGGCTAACTCATTAACACATCTAAGGTCTGCTAAGATGTGGTTGGGAGCAGGTCTAACGATCCTGCTAGGGATAACGTACTGTAGCATCTAATTCTAATCTGAGCTGCTTCTCCTGCTGACGGACATATTCGTTAACTCGTAGAATTAACGTCTCTGAGCCTTGAGGTGTAGTTAAAATCATCACTTTTGTGATCCGACATGTGGAAGAGGACTTTTTTATAGTTTGCAGTGATGTTTTTAGATGCATGAGTGTTTTAGTTGAATGTTAGTCCCGCCCCAGCTGGAGTCATGCCACAGTGCCCCATGGACACTGCCAGCCAATCCTGTGCGCCACACAATTAACGCACCTGCGCCTAATGGGAGGGCAGAGGACACAAGGGCAGGTGAAGCATACAGAGGCGCAACGGAACGGAGGAACAAGGAACGCAAGAACAAAGAGCCACTGAGGACGAGCAAGCGGAGGACAGCGGAGGACAGCTGAGGACAGCGCGTTTGGGAGACCACGGCTCTACAAGACTGGACCGAGCAGCGACCCAGCCTGCACCAGCGTGAACTTCCCACGCAGCGGCAGAGCAAGAAAGCTCTGCCTCGTCCATGAGTAACGATCTGTGGATTAGTTTGTGCAGTCAAGAGAGCCTCAGGCCCCCAGCAGCTGGCGAATGTTGTCTGTCTACTGTGTACTGGCTCTGGTCTTGTGGTAGGGAGCGTGGTGGAGAGGAAAGTGGCGGTCCGAGGAGGTGCCTGACTCAGGGAAGAGCACCATGACGCTGACTACTCGCAGCGGCAGGGTGAATCCCTGCCGTGCCTGTAAGTACTTCCAGTCGTTGTGGTGCTATAAGAGCATTTGTGGGGTCTCTTGCTTGTGTGTTCGACTGTGTGGTGCTGCCATTTTTATCCTTGTGGCCGGGGGCGGAACTGGACCGCAAGCATTAGACGGGGCCTGACTCTTGGAGAACGCAGCGGCAGGGTGGATCCCTGCCGTGCGTGTAAGTGCCCGCCCGTTGTCCTTTGTCAAATCGTGGAACTTTACACGATTTTACGAAGGACAACGGCAGGGATCCACCCTGCCACTGCGTTCTCCACGAGTCAGGCCTCGTCTCCTGCTTGCGGTCCAGTTCCGCCCCTGGGCACAAGGACGAAAACGGTAGCACCACACAGCCAAACACACAAGCAAGAGACCCCACAAATGCTCTTATAGCACCGCTACAACGACTGGAGGTACTTACAGGCACGGCAGGTATTCACCCTGCCGCTGCGTGTAATCAGCGTCACGGTGCTCCTCCCTGAGTCAGGCACCTCCTCGGACCGCCGCTTCACTCTCCACCACGCTCCCTACAGACAACATTCGCCAGCTGCTGGGGGCCTAAGGCTCTCCTGGCTGCACAAGCTAATCCACAGATCGTTACTCACGGACGAGGCAGAGCTTTCTTGCTCTGCCGTGCACGCTGGTGCAGGCTGGGTCGCTGCTCGGTCCGGTCTTGTAGAGCCGTGCTCTCCCAAACGCGCTGTCCTCCGCTGTCCTCCGCTTGCTCGTCCTCAGTGGCTCTTTGTTCTAGCGTTCCTTGTTCCTCTGTTCCGTTGAGCCTCTGTGTGCTTCACCTGCCCTTTTGTCCTCTGGTCTCCCATTAGGCGCAGGTGCGTTAATCGTGTGGCGCACAGGATTGGCTGGCAGTGTCCATGGGGCTCTGTGGCATGACTCCAGCTGGGGCGGGACTAACATGCAACTAAAACACTCATGCATATATAAAAACATCACTGCAAACTATCCCACATGCCGGATCACACTTTATTATTACAAATCTAAAAGGCTCAAGGCTTTAAATTTCCCTTTCTTTCGTTCCATTGCTGTCTTTCCTGGAGTAAGGGCAAATACTTGTGGATCCATCATTTCCAAAAAAGATCGGCTAAATATTGCACCATGTGAAGACTTATTCACATGGTCAAAACGATTTAGAGATCAGTTCTCCTGCAACATAGGTTGGACAAAGATGGTCTCAATACCGTTGTGTGCGAGGCGGAAGCTATTCTGAGTGACCGTCCCATCACAAGGCTCTATAAAGATCCTACAGACCTGGAAGCTTTAACACCCAATCATCTCCTTCTCATGAAGGCAAAGCGTCATTTCCCCTAGGGGTGTTTGTCCAAAGCGATTCTTTTTAGCATCGGAAATGACGGCTTAGCCTTCATGAGAAGGAGATGATTGGGTGTTAAAGCTTTCAGGTCAGTAGGATCATTATAGAGCCTGACCTGACAAACTGCTGATGTGGTATTTGTAACCCAGTACTTTCTTCTCAGGGTAGACAATGTGTGATTGCAGCCACTGTGGCCGAGCTGGAGATGTACATCCTTGATTATGAGGGTAGCCACTGCTTGACGTTTTGACAGAATAAGTAGGTGCTTGGCTTCTTCCGGCAAACATCCTCATGTCAGCCGACCCCCTACCCTGAGAAGACCATTGTCCAAGCATGGGGACAATCTATAGATGGTACTGGTCCTCTTCACAGCTTCACCTGCCAACAAGGCAGTAATCTCGTCGATTATTAGCCCTAGCAGGGTCGTTAGACCTGCTCCTGACCACATCTTAGCACACCTTAGATGTGTTAATGAGTTAGCTCCAGGATCATGGGGTTTCTAACCACACCAACAGGTAATAAATCTCCAACTCACGGCTGAGCTTTAATTCCCTTGAGAAAATTCTTTGGATTAAGAACGTCATTCCCTTGAGAAAGTTCTTTGGATTAAGGACGAAACGTCAGGAAAACCTGCTAACTGAAGTACAGATGATGGGTGAGCTCCCGTCCTTTGTCAAGTGTGAAAAAGCGGCTCACACACTGCAGGGTCTGAACCAAAGCGAGAGACCAAGAGAAGCACAAAAGTAGAACTGAGACACTATGGGCTTTGCTTTCTCCACAAACATATTTACTTTATATGTCAGACGACCTAATGTCCCATTATTTGAGAACTTTTCTGGTTTTTCTCATGGGGAGAGGCGGCGAGCGGGGGAAGGAGTCAGGTTGAAGGAGTCCTAGCTAGTATTTAATCATTTATGTATGTATTGATTTGTTGATGTTTGTATTTTTGCAAGTATTGATTGATGAACGTGTTAAATCATTGATTGATTGATTGCTTGACGTAACTTAACCCTAACCCTCAGGGAAGGCTAAATATCTTAGACTGTCAGTCAAGCTGCACAGGGAGTCAGTTTGCTGGGAGAAGTATGATAACTTCTTCCTGTTTCATGGTACGACGACGGGACCTCTGAGCCTGGCCTCCTCCATCTACACCTGCGGACTGCCCTGCCCGACCCGCCTGGGAGTGCTTTAGTCCTGCACCGGACCTGTCCACGTTCAGCGGCCGCTGGTCCACGTTCTGTAGCTTAGGTCCTGGATCTATAGCCTGTCCGTCCGTGGGAGCGGATCCCTTTCTCAAACTATAAAAAAAAGGGTCTCCCCGAGGTTTCTCACTTTTTTCCCACTGGGTTTTTTTAAGAGTTTTTCCTTGCCGATGCAGGAGGGTCTGTTGGGCAGTTAGTGTCCAACTAGAAGGACTGTGGTGATGATCCAGGACACTTTAACATTCTACATCATGTATGGACATTTATCAACATGTGTTCTATATTCTTTTTGTGTTTTAACTGCTGATTCTCGGATCTGTGTCGGTTATTCAATGGTTTTGTTAAGTCCTCTGAGATGACGTCTGTTGTGATATAGGGCTATACAATAATAAATTGTATTGTATTTGCATGTATTTATAGGTGGGTTTTTTTTGTGATGATTTCAATGGTTTTGTTAAGTCCTCTGAGATGAGTGCTGTTGTGATTTAGGGCTATACAAGAATAAATTGAATTGATTTGAATTATTGAAGTAAAGTAAAGTCCGGTTCTAAAATTTGCCTCATTACATTTTAACTTTTTTTTTTAAATAAACACTGTTGGACAAAAACACTGTTGCAAGATTGTTTATAAACATTTGTCAAGGGACATTTGAATAGGTCATTGGAGAAAAATGTATAGGAAACCGTGAACATGCTAAATCCACATAGAAAGTACTTTGAATTAAAGATGCAGTAAGCGATTTTGTTAGCTTAGCCGTAGCACCAACTCGAAACCACTCCCCCCTCCCCTCGCCTCTCCACCAAACCAAAACAACGGGCACACGTGAATCAGTTGAACATGTCATATTCTCCTGATGAGCAGAGGAGCTGCGTATCGCGGCTGTGTACACAGCTGCAGAGTCGCGGCTGCTGCTGTCTCTAAATGATCAGACCGATGGGTTGTGTTTGTGCGTTTACTCTGCACTCTGTCCTACTACAGTACAGACGTGTTGATGTAGCCGTTACTATTTGATGGCTCACGCGTATGTTAGTATTTGGGGCGTTCACGGGTAGAAAAAAAGTATTGTTTAAACATTACAGAAAGTGCGTAGATAATCCACATGTACGTGTTTGTCCTCATGCAGGGACGTGCAGTCAGGGGAGGCAGGGGAGGCAGAGCCTCACCTGCCATTATTGGAAACTAATAATTATTTTAGTTTAAATATATAATTTATATCCACTGTCCTATGCTTTTAATGTATATTCGGCACGGTTCCCATCAGTTTTGATCATTTCTGAAGTCAAAATCGCCGAAATCCCGTTATTCCTATTCAAAGAGACGAGGTGAGGCAGCGCTCCTGCGTGCCTCACCTCAGACCGCTCCCTCACAGTGTGTGTGTGTGTGTCTGAGTGCACTCAGCTCGTGCAGTTGATATATCACCGTTTGTTTCAAATATCCTGCTTTAAAAACATTTTTTAAACTCCT